AGAGCAGTATGCCTGAAACGGGGCTTTTAGCCCCTCACCAAAGCACACATGCAGGAGCACGTGCAGCAGCAAAAAGTAGCAGCACAGATTTATGCTGCTACTATTTTTGCCACTGCAAGTGCATGCCCCTGCATGTGGGGATGTGCTCAGGGTATTTAATTAGATCTGGGAGAGAGAAGTAGAAGCTGGCAGAACACTTGTGAAGTAGAGAGAGAAAACACCTGTCTTAATTGAAAGAGCAAGGAAGGGAAGGAGGGAGTATCTCAGAAGCTTTATATATAGTAAATATTAATTCATTGTCAGGGAGGCAGCCCCTGAAATTTTGGAGATGTTGCCCATCACTTGTATTCACCCTGTGCAGAATAATAATTACTATTTGCAACCATGTGAAGTGATGAGGCCTGAATGTTTCTGATGTGCACTACTGTGTGTGTTCACTATCTCTAAGTTTTTATTTGCTGCTCGACAGCAAAGTACTTATATTGAAGTTGGGTTACCTGGCCTAAAATAATTAAAGATGAATAGAATGTTTGTGCTGCTTGAGAGTAACTTACTCTTTCTCAACAAGTGTAAGCAGAGGGAGGTTAGAATTTATTTAGTTTCCTATTCTGTTGACTTTCTGCTCTACAAATTATGAAACTCAGAGAATCTGAAAGCAAGCTTTAATCACAGGGCCAGCTCCAGATGTTAGTTTTCAGAGGATTACGTAGCAGTCTTACATAAATGCCAGGAGTACAGACACCAAAAGCCAGGTCCTCAACCTATGTGTATAAAGATGTGTACATTAATGTCAATGGAGTCACACTCATTAACTCTTGCTGATGATCTTGTCCCAAAGGTATTTTGCCATATTTAACAAAGCCTCTCTCCTGCTGTCTTCCCTTCTCAGGCAGCATGCCACAACAGTGCTGGGTTAGAGGCAATTTGGAAAAGTCTCTTGCTCAAATTTTATTGTTGTACCACCAAACTGAGGGAGGGCGGGGGGTGAGGAGAAACAGACCTGAATCAAACTCGCAAGCAGTAGGGATTAGACCTCTAGTCTTCCATTTCAGAAATAAAGGACTTTACCACCACCCACAAAGAAACTGCTACTAACAGTATACCCATTTTTCTAGACCCTGTTGCAGGGCTGCCACTAGATTACATCACGTGTGTGGAACAGGTTAAAAACAGTTCAAATTGGCTGACCCTCCTAGACATCAACTAATGAGGAATCCTAAAGATATAAAATGAGTGTTTAGCCATGTCATGAAACCCAGTCAGTCCAGCTTTGAGTTTAAAAACACACCAATAAAAATGTATTAGCTTTTTGTGGTATTCAAATGGTGAAAATTTATGACTTTCACATGAATAAGTTATTTTAGAGGAACTACTATATTCTGGAGCAAATGGAAAAAGTGACATGTTTAGAGAATTTTAAATTTTGCAGCTAAGAATTAATTTCACAGTGTTAAAACATTTGTTTTCCCATCTTGAATTCAGTGGAGTAGAATTTCCTGTTAAGAAGCTGGAACTATGAGACTGTTGGCTGAAAAGACAAAAGCCTAAACCTTCTGAACTCTTAACCGTGAGAATAAGACACTGCAATTCTGGAGGACAAGTTCTCTGCTGTTTGGAAAGTAATCTGGCTGCTGTATATCACACTGGGACATTTTGGGGCTGTGAAGTTGTGTTTTTATCTGTTATAATTGATAAGGTTCAAAATAAGTTATTAAATAAGTTAATTTTAATAACTTACATCTTGAATGTATCTCATCATTCCAGGCAGATCTTTCCTCTTCACAGAATGCAGTATATGAAAAAGCCATTATGGATCTCATCAGAAAAGATAAAATGAGCTTTGGGTCTTCCATTCAAGATGCTACTAGAAAGCACAAGACTATTCTGGCAGGTTGTACAATACTAATGTTGTTTACTGACATAAAATCATCAACTTCAGGGGCTTAACAAATATGATGTAATTGACCATGCCCACATGGGCAGGTCATCATGTGAATTCCATACATTCACTGGTAAGCAGTTAACCATGTGAGTGAAATTTCAATAGATGGTAGTATGAGTGATATTGTAGCTGTGATTGTCCAGAAATTACATCAGAGGCAAGAATTTCTTGCTTGGGGATTCACAATCTTGTGTTTTGTAATCAGGAGCATCTGTCGCTCTCATTTGCTGAACCAAATTTGTAAGTGAACTGAAATAAATATACAAGGAGAATGTGTTACAGTATTCACCCAGATCTAATCAGTGGTAGTGTTGACTAAGCACTCTAGTACCTACTCCTCAGGCAATTTTATGCATTGCGCTAATTCAAGAAACACTGATAAACACAGTCAGTGCCAAGAGTCAGCAGAGACTAGGCCCCAGCAGAACTTTATGTTCTTTTTCCTCTAGTCTCCTCAGCTAGGGACAGACATTCAAAAAGCCTGAGCCTGAATTGATTCACTCTTCGCAGATTAGCCTAAACTGCGCAGCTTAAACCGATTAATAACCGAACAGACATTCTCTGTTAAATCAGGAAATGCAAGCACATGCCTGCAGTGGCTTGAGCTGGAAGCCGGAGCCCTCCAAGGCTCTCACCCCTCTCTGCTGGAGTAGAGGGGGCATGGCCAGGTATCAGTCAGGGCTAGCAGGACACACAGGATGCCAATCACCAGTGTGGTGGGGAGCGGGGAGCGGGGGCAGCTGCTGCCAGACTGAGGAGCGGGGATGGGAAAAAAAGTACTTTCTCTGAAGCAAGCATGTATTGAACACAGCAGTTTGCAAAGCATACAACAGGGAACTACCAAACATCTTCGCCTAGGCTAAGATACAGCCCAGTAAAATACAGCATACACAACTTAGTCAAACTTAAAATATAAAGCAGGAAGAAACGAGAAAGCCTTGCATAAGTCTTACTAATCCTGAGGGCAGAGTGTCTTCTTATAGCCAGACATTCAGAAAGGCTTTGTTTAGGTTTCACAGGTTCTGCTTTATAATGTCAATGTAGCTCTGCATTCTTTGATCTGCAACTTCCAGCCAGAAGTTGTCTTCAACTTCCCTTAACTCTATCTCCAGCACATACATGTGATGATCGTCAGGTCTTTGCCAGCACTTCCCACATCTCAGTCTTGTCCTGCAGGTCTTAGCTCACAGGTGCAGGTCTTGCCTCTCTCTCCCACTCCAGAACCACTATGGAATTAATCCCTACCCTGGCTGCAGCCAATCTGGAGAGAGGGAGAAATTAACTCCGTCTTTGCCTGGCTGTAGGAAAGTCATGGAGGTGCGGCTGGGGCTGGTAAACCCCAGATGCGGTATGCAGGGTTTGCCAGCATGGGGGAGAGAGAATGTAGGGAGGAATTTGCCTCAGGGGCCACGGCAGGCCAGTGTCTGGCCATGCCCCACCCCTGTTCTTGTTAGAAAAGAAGAGGGGAGGGGCCAGCCCTGCTGTGGAGCAGACAGTCCCACCCAGCCCTGAGAGCATGCATCATTCTCATTAGCTATTTAGTCCCTGGTCACTTTTCAGGCTCCATATCCTATTCCCAATCTCATTGGTTTTAGGGCACATGTCTAAATCTTCCCACTAATAATCTGTACCTACCCCGTTGCTCAGCTCAGGCTTCTTCACCCAATCAATTTCTCCCTCAACACCTCAACCGATATGTCTGTCTTCAAGCCTCCATTTCTCACCCCTCTCAATCCTATTTGTCTACCACCACTGGCTGCCAGGTTCAGGTCTCTCTTCAACCTCTTTATCTAGTCTCAGCTTTATATTCTGCCAGTTGCTTCTCTAGCTCCCTGAGTCCTTGTTCTGGTCTCTTTGCCCAGCCAACTTCAGTCCCTCCCCTTGCATGCCCCATTTCCTAGTCAGACCTGTCTTCCCAACCCTTGTTTCCTTCCTTTATTTTGTCCCAGTCACCTTCTCCAACGACTCTCAGTGTTTTCAGCTGTCATTGGCTGCAAGATCCTGGCCTTAAGAAATTTCAGTTTAAACTGTATTTTCAACAATTAGCATATTCTTAAAAAGGGAAGCACTGGACAACTTAGCAATAGGCAGTGCTTCCAGACCCACACATAATATGTATGGTTACCTTTTGCACCAGGAAAACCACAATAATCCATCTTCATCTGGAAATCAATAACAAAACCTCCATTTGGGGAACAGAGTTGGATCTAAATGAAGTTCTGATATACAGATAGTGCCTCAGTTTTTCATGTGGACAAGGGAACTTTTTTAATGCTTGTAAGTCCCAGTTTTACCAATGTGGGGCATGGTGCTGCTAGCTTAAGCACATACCAGCGTGCTTACCCTACACCTGGGAACAGGGTTGTTTTTTTTTTCATGTAGCCCTGTAGTTATTTTCAATTACTTATCTGAGTTGTCTGTTGTTTTACTGGGGCAGGGGATTTGGTTGAATTGATATTTTTGCATTGGCAGCTGATACCCAAAGCAACTGAAAGAGCTGTAAGGCTCACTAACAGCACAGAAGCATCTCTTTCCTCCCCTCCCCTTTGAAGTACCTCTTTCCCCACATTGCTTTGTCCCTCCTATGACTCTCACTACTGCAGAAACCTTCTCTCCCCCTCTATCTTCCCCTTCTCAGTGTACAAAGATGACCTCCCACCTTTTTTACTGCCTCTTCCCCTTGTAATCCTTCCCTTTGTGCCACTAGTATACTGCATTGTCTTCTTTTTTCCCCATTCCAAAATGTGGATCAGTATGAAAGAAGCCTTCTCCAAAGAGCTTGAGCAGTAAGATCCTCAGTAGCAGACTCCTGGGCACTTGAGGGCTAGGGGCAGTACACATAAACCAGTTTATGATCAGAAACTACTTTAAACCTGTAAGAGAACAGACACACAGTACAGATGAACCAGTTTGAAAATGACTGAAACCAGTTTGAGATAAACCTGGTTGAATGTAGTATCAGACATAACTGATTTGAGTCAAACTGGTTTATGCAATGTCTGTCTCAGACTCCTTGCTCATTTAAGTTAAATCAGAGTCCCCCAGAATCCTGGCATGCTCTCTGGGCTGGGCGGGGCTCTCTGCTCCACAGCAGTGCTGGCCCCTCCCATCTGCTCCCTGGCTAAGATTTGCAGCTCCAGCAGAGATTTGCAGGCACAGTAGGGTCTGCTCCCTGGCTGAGATTTACAGCTCCCACAGAGATTTGCAGGCACAGCAAGGTCTGCTGGCTTCCTTGTACCCTTCCCCACCATCACTGCTCAAGCAGGAAATCCCTCCTTCCCTCCCATCTCCCACAGCACAGTCCCTGGCCTCAGGGACCCTAGGCATGAGGTATGCTAGCTAGTGCCAAGAGGGGGGGGGTGTGTGCATGTGTCCAGTTTCACTGGGACAGGCAGGCAAACAGAACAGGGCTTTTGGAGCTAATCAGCAGATCAGCTGGTAAGCTGTTTAAGAAGTTTGAACTAATGGAGAGAGGCCATTGTTTTGCTAATTGGATGATAAAGACTTTTATCAGCCTCTGGCTGGCTTGCTTGCCTATCAGTTTGCTGCAGACAATATGACAAAGCATGGAGGGCGATTGAAAATCTCCGTATCATCAACAGATGCATGCACTGCACACCCCCACCTGCCTCAGAGTGCTAGCCCAGGGCTGGGGGCTGACAACACTCCCACCCCTTGAGCAGCCAGCGGGGAAAAGCCTGGGAATGTGCAGGCAGATATCCCTAATGAGAGAGTCCTGGCAGGGCCTGGCTAGATCTACCTCAGCTTAGCTCCCTGCAGAAGGGAAGGGAGGGCTGCTCTAGTGCCCCCCAGCTTCTAGCCTGAGCCACTGCAGGCATGTGCCTGAACTTCCGTGGTCCAGAGAGAATGTCTGTCCAGTTTCCAAACAGTTCAGCCTAGCCAGGTTAGACTAACCTGCAAAGACTGAATCGATTCAGGCTCAGGCTTTTGAATATCTGTCCCTAGGCCTCAGATCCAGGGTTGTATGGCCACTTCAGACTAGAGAAACCAGAATAAAAAACCCTAACCTTTCTGCACAGAAAATGGAGTTTTGCCATAATTCTGCCTTGTTTTTGTTCCAACGAAGCTGGAAAACAAATGTTAAAACTTAAAAAATTGTGACGAAATGGAACTGACATAATTTTTTTCCTAGCCACCTGATGGACCACGTGTGTCAATATGATGGTGCATGCTGGCATTTTTGTGGGTTTTTTCCATTTCGTTTTTTAGAAAAGGGGGAAATTATATGCAACAAACTCTGTAAAATAAACATTAATGTTTATATGTCAAGGTTCCTGTACAACTGAAACTTGGTGCCCTGGAGCCCATGTTTTATGATACATCCTTTGATTATTTAATCGCTTTCACTCTTTCCACAAGACCCCAATGTTTTTCATTGCACTGAATGAATCTGTTCTGATGATATGCTTGGGGGATGTAGTAAAAAAGGCTCTTGTTGGTAGGCCCCTGCCTGATCAGTTACAGTAGCTGGAAAGACTCATAAGGTGCGTCTACAAGAACGTTATGTCGCCATAGTGATGAGCTATGGCAACAGGGCTCATTGCTACAGCTATGTAGTGTTGGTGGGCATGAACCGTGACACCACTGCT